CTTGCAACATCTCGCGACCGATCGTGCCTTGCCAAACTGCTTGAGAACTCCACAGCACAAGGGCAATGATGCAATCACCACCACGAGGATTCCCACAGCGATTCCACCAACCGACCCTCCAATCAGCGATCCTGTGAAGGCTCCCTTGGTGCAACATCAGCCTTTGATCAATATGTTTATGAGAAACCACTGAATGCTTGCAGTCCCATAACCTAGATCTCTGGCAATAGTTACTACCACATTACTGTAAATTAAAATATGTTTCAGTAAGATTATACAAACTTTCATTTCCAAAGTTTTCTTCTGGACCTCTGGGAAAGTAGATTTGCCTGTTTATATATATATTTATTTATTTATATAATCGGTGAAAATTGAAGAAATCATGGCGTTTCTATAGGGTTAATCTATATTCAATCTATTCCCACGGGGCCCCTTCTGGCAATAATGCCTTGCAGACTCTGAACATGTCAACAATGTGCCAAGTTGCTTCGTCCCACTGGGGCGTTCCATTTGTGCAAGCGTTCACCACAAACACCGTGCTGGCAGCCAACAATGAAATGCGTGCTGCAAACATCGACCTGGACCGCACACCGGTGTCCACCGATCGACACTGCAATCCTCAGAGACTTTATCTCGCTTCGGAGTGGTACCAAGAAGATTCGGCCACGCAAAAAGGGTTACAAAAAAGTAAACAAAAGGCACAACTCCTTGCGAGTTCCTTGCGACAACGGACCGAGTGGGTGCTTTTCCATCGTGCATACGATACCTAAGGGAACGGACCGAAGGCCGAAGGGGCGCTTTTTCTGAGGTGGTCTTGAAAGGTCTTCATCGGATCATCTGGTTCCGGTGCGGCTGGTGAATGCTCGTGATAGGTGTGTGTGTGTGTGTCACACCCCGTCTCGAGGGGTGGCCTTTCGTTTCTGTTTCCACTAATTACTCGCAGGGGGTCAAGGCGCGATATCACCAACCTTGACCAACGAAGCTGGGTGATACGGGATATGGGACTTGGCCAGTCTCATGTACCTGCTCTAGTCTAGTGGGTGATTCTTATGTCTCGCCGGAAAACAGGAGGCAGGGTTCGTCAGTCTCGCTTGTTCCCTAGCTAAACAGGAGGTTTCTTTTTCCTTTTAGTTTACTCTAGCTAACAAAACAGGAGGTTTTGTTACTTTACCTACTTAGAGCGGCTCACTTGTCTCGCTCCATTATGGAACCTACCTCCCTACGAACTCTCTGTGCGAGCGGCTGAGCGTTGCTTTTCAATTTTCACCACATTGTTCAAACATCTACAAGTCACCGGACCCAGCACTCTTGCGGTTTGCATTAACTCTAACTCTAGAGTCAAGCGCTTTGCATAACTGAAATCACACTGAAATTGATGTTCCCTCACCGGAACTTTGAGTCAAAGTGTGTGTGTGTGTGTGCGTGTAAGGTTCAAATCACCCGACTTTTGGGATGGCCACCTGGCCAGTGGTTGTGTGAGATCTGGAAGCCTGGTCACATTCGGACGTGCAACTCACGGTCCCCAAATGCTGCGGAAATACGCACGCTGTATGTATTTGGCTGGTTACGCAGGCCTTTGTGTTGGACACACGCAATTGAACCACACTATACAGTACAAACGTTAGGGGTGCACTTTTAACTCGGGATGTGTTTCATTTTTCGGTATTTTTTCAAAATCCTTGGAACTCACAGTTTGCTGCTATTTACGGCAACCTGGGAAAAGGAACTGCGGACCAAGGCGGGTTGAGTGGCTGAGCTTGAAAGAGAAACAGTTTCGGCAGCGGGGCTGACACTCAAGAGAAACAGCTGTCGTAGCAAGCAAATTTCATGTCCTTAGCAGAGACACAGGTGTCGTAGCTGGCCAAATACATTGGAATAGTGTAGGTTTCATACTAATTGCTAGCTGATTAGACTACAGTAATTTGGGAGCTGTCGTAGCTGGCAAAATGCATTGGAATAGTGTAGGTGTCAGAGAACTTCCTACCTATCACAACAGTTTGGTGCAGCTAGCAGAGAAGCAGCAAAGAGAAAGATAACTAGCACAGGAGGCATATATTTGGTTGGTTAGAAGTTTTTGCCCCGGGCAGCTCACCTTAAAAAATTGATTTCGTGGCAGGCGCGGGTGTCGGAGATGAAGTGCAGATTTCGTGGCCCGGGGGGGCAGCGCCCCCCCAGCAGCACACCAGATCCAAAGGTGAGCAGCTCGTGCTCTTGTTTGGTTTCTTCTTCGCCATCCATCACAGCTCTTGTGTGAAATGTCGACCAAGCTGCAATCAATTTGAAACCAGCACAGTTCCAATGGATTTTGCCAGCTACGACAGCTGTTTCTCTGCTAACTGCACCAAACTGCTGTGATAGGTAGGAATACACAAAAGCAAATAGATCGACAAAGCGAACAAATGGAAAAGCCAAAACTAAAAGAGAAAGGAGAACAGCTGCCAAAGCAGAAAAGCAACAAAAGCAAAGAGCAGAAAGACAAAAACCCAAAAAGCAGAAAAGCAACAAAAGCAAAATTTGCAGCAGAAGCAGAAAAGCAGCAAAAGCAGAAAAGCAACAAAAGCAAAAAAAGCAGCAGAAGCAGAAGAGCAACAAAAGCAGAAAAACAGCAAAAGCAGAATCCCAAAAACACAATGAAAATACATCCCGAAAAAACAAAAAGACACGCCCCTCCCTACAAATCTCCCAAAACAACCAACCACCGCTCCTCCCAGCGTTCCGCGTTCCGCGTCACAGTACTTCACCGTAGCTTCATCACCCTACATCGCCATCAGTACTATTCGGTACTCGCGAGTACCGGGTTGGGTGGTGGTTGGTCGGGTGAACACGTCGTGGTGAAAAGACCCATGTGCACAAAATCACCCTCAAGTAGCATCACCACAGTCACAGAAATCACCATCAAGCAGCTCATAGCTCCATGTCCTAACACAATCCCATGTGGCCCAGGCTATGGCCGTGGGCCACCGATGGTGGGCTCAAAACACTTTCACCCCCGAGGGCGGACCACAAGAATGGCACATGCGATTCGCACATGAAAAACATGGTCACATGGCCAACGTCACGGAGGCGACATCGCTTTCGGAAAGGTCCTCGGAACATGAAAACAAGCATCAATCATGCACCAAAGTAAGCAAGAACTGTTTTAAAAAAGGGTCTGAGGCCTCAGAAAAGTTCAACATGCTGAATAGCCTCCAAGGTCAACTGGTTTTCAAAGCACAAACGGCAACGGACTAAGGCTAGGAATATGACAATGTAACATGACCGTCAAGCATACACTAGTTATTCGTCTCCGTCTCCCATGATGTGGATGCCTTGCAAAGTAGTGTGCGCAAAGGATGCTGGCGGGCTTGAAACTGGAAGGCTGCATAACATGGTTGGTCAAGGAAAATCTGAAGCAGCTGCAGGTCCAAAGCTCACGGCAAAGCTCTGCTGAACAGGTAATGTCCATATGTCCAAAAGAATCCATATGTCCAGCTTGTGTGGCTTAGCAGCTAGCATGGGCCCAAGAGAATGGCTCTAGACTCAAAGACTCCATCCAAAACCTTGCTCGGTTGGAGTCCAGTGCATCGGGTGAAGAGCCAGCCAGGGGTGCTTTACTCTCCCATGGTTTTGGTCCAATCGCTGGACCAGCAAGGAACCCATCTGCGAGGGGATGGGGACCCGAACACGAAGAACCATCTTTGGCCCCGAAAGGATGGCCATGAAATCCTCTACACACGTGGTGCATGGTGGTGCCGTCCACTTCCGTGATGACTTTAGGAATGTACACATCATCGCCAGCTCTTCCTGCCAGGACTGGAGCATCTGGGCCGCCCCAGCGCTCTTCACTGCGACGCCTGGCCTGGCGAAGCCGGTGGCTTGGTCAAACGCACGCCAGTTTCAGGCCGATCCACCCAGGATGCCAAGCAGCCCCGCTCAGGCCCGATAAAGGGCATCTGATCGTCTTTTTTGTTGCTTGGGACCTATACACAAAAACAGAACCTTCGCCAAAGCTTTCGCGGCTGCAAAGGGTGCCTACGGGATGCACATGTTTATCGCAGGTGCTGTAGGTGCTTTCGCGGAGATCAGCTTATAGATTTTGTTTTGTTATGGTTCCTGCAACAGCAATCGTAAGACCACCCTGCGAATGCTAACCCCAGCACAGTGACACAAAGCGTCGACTTCACACCTCCGCAGCAAAATCATCCTTCACACTTGAACATGTCACGTTTCCGCACTATTTCACACGAATCTTAACTTCTTGCTTCCATCCAAAACCAAAGTTGAGGAGAAAGCTGCTCGACCAAAATTTTAATGCACAACTCCAGCAACTACACTGGAATGAAGTGTTGAGATTGCGCATGTGCGATTGATACATCCTTGCCTATATGTACCTATATTATATAATTTAATACACATGTGCCAAGTTGTTTTCGCAGCTCAAAAAATGGAAGGCTGCGCAGGGCGCTTTCGCGAGCTTTCGCAGGCTTCACACAGTTGCTTTCGCGGAAACATAACGGCAGGAACCCTAAATAAAACCGATTGCGGGAACCCAAAATCACCGAGGGAACCCCAAATCCGCTTGTGGGAACCCAAAAACTGATTCAGAGAAAAAAAAGAAGACGCTAGGATACGCTAGGGACTACGCTAGGGAAGGGAAAGTTGGAATCTGGGAACTGGAAACACCCAACCCAAGTTCCACCTTTGCATGTGTCCCGGCGCCTGTGCCGAGCTGCACAGCTTCGCCAAGGCCTGAGCCATGGCCACCTGGAGCCCGGGGCGGTCGGCTTTACCCGACAAAGGCCCCTAAAGGGCTGAAGCGAATTCCTGCCGCGCCCATCCTGGTTGTTCTAAGTGACTGGATACCATGGAAAGTGCGGTCACGAAAAGGTCTGCGTCTTTTTGGGGGCTTACTTAGGGACTCCAAGCAAGGACACTTTTGAAGAAGCCGGATAGTCGCTGTGAAATGTGTTTGGTTTGAGAAACATCTGTAGAAGCCTGTAGACATCAACTAATAATTAACGCGAACAACTGGTGACCATGTGATATCCTGTGGTCGAGAGATCCATAATGATCTACAACAGCCGAAGACTACTGCTTACTTACAGCAATTCTGTCCGGTACTCATGTTGCAACACTATAGAGGTCATGCCCATTTTTCACACTTGAGAGAATAGAGGGTGAACGAAAGGTAGCAGGCAATCACAAGTAACCCTGGTAGAAGTCCATGACGGCGTCAAAGGTGGATGGATGTGACCCAAACAGCGACGGCGCAGGGGGGGGTTTGATCCAGGGCCCCCCCGTCGAATAGAATCCCTTCTTACAGGACCAAACTCAATGCAAATCACCAACTCCTGATTGTAATGCATTTTTGCTAAAGCAAGGAGAACTCAGGTAGCTCAAGCTACAACGTTCTGCCCAAGCTGAACTTCGGCACACTGGACGTGACAAGACCCATGAATGTATACAGTAATATGTTTCTGATGTTTTTAATGTTTCTGATGTTTCTGATGTATGGACCTGCACGAAATCCTTCGAACAAGGAACCCTTCATGTCATCTGCCAGCATTCCAGCATTCCAGCAAATAAACAACATAACTCACTGAGCTTGTTTAATCTTGTTACCACACTCTCTCCACCTGCTTTGAACCCAGCATGCGACTCGCTTGCATTTTCTTCAGCGATTCTTCGCAAACCAGCGGTCACCTCGCGTGGACGATTTCCTCCCTCAGGCCATCTGGACTGCACCAACCGGGGTAGCACCGCTATCGCCGGCGAAAAGACCCGCTGTTTCAGTGGGGAGACGGTGTGTGGTAAGGTTCTTTGGCAATCCTCGACGATTTTCAGGAGCCAAAAGCATCTAACAGCGTGAACATGGTTCTCTTGGCAGTCTGACGTTTTGACTTGGGTTTTCGATCCTCGCTATGACTGGAGATGGTGATGGTGAGAAACGGCTTATATAGAAAGGCCTTTGCCCCGGTATAGTGACAGTTTTATGACCGACCACTACTGTGAAGACGATTGACCCCAGGGTGTGCCTGACACCAATAACATTCAGAACCCCCGCAGAAACTGATTTAGGTGAAGAATGGTCAACATGAATTCCAAGCAGCTCAAGAATCACCAGCAAAAGCTTTCAGAACCTTTGATCCATTCTGTTCCGCCCCGATGACTGTGGGGGAACTGGTTTAAGGACCCCAAACACGGCACGATCGGAGGATATCGATTACCGAAACCAGTACAGTAATTCTGTGAAGGTGTATAGGGATGAATGAATAGGGAGAACCCCGGAAGACCCCCAGCTCGCTCCGGTAGACTCTATTTCGACTCCTCCGAGCTCCGGTCGGGAGAACTGCCTCATCAAGAAGTGGTGCATCATGCGACTCCTGTAGCGAGACGTCAAAGGAGGAAAGTCTGAAGCGCTCACAGTGCAGGTGGTTCTTGCTCGGGCATGCTGAGGCCGTGCTTGTAGTTTATATATATATATATATATGTGCATGCGTGCGTGTTGTGTGTGTGTGTGTTGAATTAGGGGGCCAAAGACTGTCTGGAAGAAGGGACATACAGTAGACTGATTGGAGGCCACCCTATTGAAATACACACGCGTATAATGGTGGTCGGGCGAACATCTGCTGCGTGGGAATGGTTCTGGGGCAAGTGGAACAGACGATTCCCACGAGATTGGAGTGTAAGTAAGGGCTGTTTCTTGTTGGAAGTATTCACAGGCGTGTCTACAACATGTCGGTTTGTCTACATTACCTCTAATCTGCAGATAACTAACCTGATATCAATGACTCCTATGTTGTATATTTCAGATCCACTAGACCTCTGCGCCTGCATACCACTGCCCAAACTGCCCGCCATCCGATCTACCAAACGCCCAGGCGCGGTGTTGGCCCTGTTTCCGAAAGAGCTCGGCCAATTGCTGAGGGCTGGTGGCATCCACCAGACCTTTGTCCTGTGCGGTGCGCGATGTGTGGGACGATGGCATCGAAGCACTCGGTGTCTCTGTGTCCAACTTAAAATCATTGGCGTTCATCGGAGTGGGAACCATATCCTTGTTATAATCAACCAGTTAATTTTGGACTGCAAGGTTGGTTTGCTCTTCCCGGGGAAAATACATGAAGGAAACATGGCATCATTGCTTTCCAGCAGTCGTCCGTCACCAAGCACGGTCACTGCCACGCTGACTTATAACTTAATAGATCTTAATAGTAGATATAGCAATAATTGTACAACATGTTGCAAGCAAATAATAACAAATCGTCAAATCGTTCCTCCTGCCTTCCCCTGTAAACGGACTCTATCTATGTTTCACCCACCCAGCTCGGTTGAACCGGCCCCGTCCTCTCTCTTTCGCATGAAGCGAGGGAAGCGAAGCGACAGGCCCTTCTTGCTGTCCACGAGGCCCTTCGCCGCCATATGTTTCGGGGAGATGGTAATGTCCTCGGTTCGCTAAAGAGTCCGCGGTACTGAGAAGCTGGCAGGGTAGACTTATACTAACCGATCTGTGCAGATTATTGCAGATTCTGTGTGCTTCATCCAAACAAGCAGTCTGCATGTCGTTCGCATGCTCTCCAACAATCCTGGCAGAAAAACTAGTGACCAGCAGTCTGACTCCCTGGGCTGAGCTCCCTCGCGGCACCTCTGATCTCCCAGACTTCCTGGGCGTTCGCAAAGCGTCGCAAAGAGTGCAAAGCCATGCAGCTAATCAAGCTATCCTGGCGTTCGCCCAGCCAATCGCCCGTACTCCCCCATGCGTTCCGTCTCTGACCAACCCCCGTGACGACACCGACGCAACGGCATCGGCACCGAAAACGGAATCGGCGTCGCCGAGGTGCCGTTGGTTGGAACCAAAAGGGTGGCTCCTCGGCCGTGTCCACGCCTTCAGCTTTGCGCTTCAGCTGGAGTCCACCTGCCCATTTGGATGGAGTGAAAGAGGGAATGAATTAGAATGAATATTGTTCATGTCGGTCTACAAGTTGTCTACCATACAATGTTGTAGACTCAAAAAGAAACACACATGCTTAATGCAGGCTCAAAGTGGATTGGCAGTTTAAGTATTGATGTAACGACTTATGCCCTTTATTGTAATCATGTTGGACGTTTCATGGTCCACCTGCCAACAGTGGACCGTTGAACAGTCGTTCATTCTACCAACAGGACAAGGTGGGGCAACATGTTCAAAGGAGAAGTGTGCTGGATTTGCGTCCCACAGCTTTCTGCCACTTGAAGAACTTTTGTTAAGTGAAACAATCCTTTAATATCCTTGAATCCTTGGAATGGGCGCTCTTCTCCACAAGAGTTCAGTGTGTCAAGCCCAGTGCATCCCTCTGCGGTAAAGAATTATATCCCCAAGTCTCGGCTACCCAATACATCCGAATGCTGACTCAGACAGAATCTGCACGATCCGGCAGGATCCTTTGTTTACAAATCACAGCAAATCACCAGTATCCAAAAGTAAACAATTCAAGAACTGAGTAATGCATGGTGAGAAACACGTGAGAAAAGAATGCATTACTGAGTTACTGAATTCAACAAAGTGTTCCCTTACAAAAGGGATCTGGTCTCAAGAAAACCCGCACCCCACGATCGCTTCTCCACGCCTCCCTGCGTCTGACGCTTTCCGTGCGTGGACATGGTGAGTGGCGCAGCTCCTCCGTCCGCATCCTCTTCTTCCTCGGCCTCGGCCAGTGCAGTGAGAAAAACAAAGTGGTGAAACCATGGAGATCCATGGAGTATCAGCTCATAGCAATGAAAAGCCAGCTGTCCAAGGCAACTGGAAGTGGCTGAGATGAATGGACGGTCGACACAGATTTGTGCCATTCAGAGCGAACACCATGAAATAGATCACGGGTTGTTGCAGACTCATGGGCGGTCAACATGGTTTCTATGGATGGTTGGATTCAACTCTTCACATTGAATCTATTGGTCGAATCTTTGCTTCAACCCTCTCGCACATCGGTGCTTCGGCTCACCTCCTGTTCATCTGACGCATCATCCTCACCTGGTCAAGGTCTGCCATTTTCCATGAAGGCTGTTTCGGAAACAAATATACACAACAGATCAGAAACAATGTCTCGGAATTGAGTCCTCCAACATTCTGGAAGTCAACTGCTGTAGCAATTTGTTCCTATTTCAGGCCAGGGCAAAGCGAATCAAGCAGAACATGCATCCAAATGCCAAATTCCTTACAGTACTCACAGCTCGCTAACATGGAAGTTGAATGAAGTTGAACCCCAAACATCCTGTCCTGTTCACAGTAGTCTTCCGCAGGTCAATGCATTTTTTCCGGCATGCTGAAAACTCCCAGGTGTCTTCCTCTTCGGCCGGTCGAAGTCCCAAGCGCCTTCACATCCTTCAGCCTCATCTCCGGCGGAGGCTTCCGCACGCGATGCACTTCGATCCAGCTCTCGCCCCAAATAGCGGAGCGTGTTCTCCTGGCTGCCAGGCGCTTGACGGCGGCTGATGGCAGAAGATGAGATCTCGGCCCCAAAAAGCTATATAAGGCAGCCAACGTTCAAGCAAATGTCCCTTAATGCAGAAGCCCGGAGGAAGAAACTGCACTCTCACAGTCCCCTGTTTTGAAAAAGAATCTGTCATCAAACAAATCACTTTCCCGCCCATGAGAAGCATGTTATGGCATAATCCCATCACTTGATACATCTTGATACCCTCAAACTGGCAGTTGTCAGTACAAAAACATCCCGGCGGAATTATTACCGCCCCACGATTTTTGTCGTTTTCTCTGTTTCGCTGCAGCGACA